TATTACTATTCAAAAACTCTTTATTACCCTTCCTTTTATACTCAGAATGAAACTCAAATTTCTTTTAATGATGTGAAAGGTTCCGATTCAGACCCAGCCTACTTCTTCAGCCATACCTCTTGTTTCCTTATTCCTTGTTGAACATATCATTTTCATACTTTAGACCTTTGGACCTGCCAAATATGCTATCAGAACCATCTTCCATCCCGAGGTTATGTCTGTCCCTTTTTTGTTGGCTATTAAATCAATGCACATATTAGAAAGTTTTCTTTTTAGTACTCTATTACCTGCAAAATATTGTTTGCACGTTTGTTCTGTTTCAGACTTCAAAGTTGGCAGAAATCCTCAATTTCACCTTTGCCTTTGGTGGTGAGTATATTATTTTAATAATAGTTGCATTATTCCTTGTATAGGAACAAGGTATTTCTTGTATGTAAATTGCTAGTATCCTGTCACACACAGTACGGATATTTAAATGTTCATTGGGACTATGAATGAAACACTGTTCTTAAATTTCTCATTCCTGGCATAATCATAAATAAATTGACCAACACAGCCTACCTCTCATCATGAATACTTAGGATGTCCATCTTTATGCATTATTTCATTTTTTACAACTTTTGATTTTCCTAAACTCATACTTTCTACATTGTGTTCCCATTATTAATGGATATTTGCAGTTGTTTCTCACTTTTTAGTGTTTCCAATCTTAGAAACTGTACTTTCAGTACTATATCTAATAATGTTCCTGTGATATTCAGACTTTTTGAAGGTCTGGTATTTGCCAAGTGGATGCTAAATCTTACAAATCTTAGTACAGACTTTTGCAGTCTGAAATTGATCAAACATGCAAGCAAGATCCATTAATAAAAATAGGTGTCTGGATGCAAAAGTTGGAAACAAAAGACTAGTAGTTGGGAAATACAGACTTGGTAACAGAAATAAGGCTGGAGATAGAATGACAGCATTTCGTACAATTCATTGCATATACCTTTTTTCAAAAAACAAATGGCAACAATACATATGGACCTCACCTGATGAACCACACAGAAATCGGACTAACTACATCTGTGGAAAGATTTGATAAACTCAGTATCAGCAGTTAAAAAAAGATTCATTAGCTGATTGTGGAACAGATCATCAATTATCTGTATGTAAGCTCAGGCTGAAGCTGAAGGAAATAAAAACAAGTACACAAGAACTGAAATGACTTCAACTCTATATCATCAGAATTTATAAGCCATCTTAAAAATAGACTTGATGCAACAAACACTAAAGACCAGAGAGGTTGGGTGATACTCCTCTGGTATCCTCTACTATCATCCATGAAGCAAGAAAAGACCAAAATGGATGTCAGAAGAGACTCTGTAAACTGCACTAGAGTGAAAAAAAGAAGAAGAAATGCTGACGTAAAAGAGATGCACAGATTCCAAAGAGCAGCTTGAGAAGACAAAGCAAAGTATTAAAACAAAAGGTGCAGAGCTGGAGTTAGAAAATAAAAAGGAGAGAAGACTTTTGGATTTTCTCAAGCTGAAAGAACTGAAAAACAAATCAAGCCTTAAATTACAATACTGAGGGATATAATGGGCAAAATCTTGGATGCAAGAAGCATCAAAAGATGGACTAAACAGTCACTGCATCAAAAAGGAATTGGTCCACACTGAACCATTTCAGGAAGTAGCATATGACCAAAGAATCAAAAGCAATGAAGTTCAAGCTGCACTGAAGGCACTGACAAGGAATTGATGGAATACCAATTGACATGTTTCAACAAACAGATGCAGTCCTAGATGTACCGTTATTGTGTACCACAGAGTTGGAACTGACCCATAGCTGACCCTCCAGCGGGTTGTCAGAGGCAGTTAATTATACAGGAGACTGCCCATCTTTCTCCCACAGAACAGCTGGTGGCCTTGAACCACATGCCTCCAGGAGTGAAGCACAGTTTCTTGCCAGTAGGCCACCTGTGCTCCCTAGATCTGCTCACTAGTCTACGGCAAAGAATTTCAAAGACAGTTATCTGGCCAATCGACTGGAAGAGATTCATATTTGTTTCTATTTTAAAAAAAAGTGATCCAATAGAGTCTGGAAAGAGAAGACTACCCTTGAGCAGGCAGACTGAGACAGTAATTACAACAATGGGCTTAACTATAGCAGAGATTGTGAGGATGGCACAGGATAGGACAAGGTTCAGACCTGTTGTTCATAGATTCGCTGAGTCGTACTTGACAGCATTTAATATCCAAATAAAATCTTGCTGAAGATTTTATTTTTTTAAATGGCTGGAACATTACATCAACATGGCACTGTTAGAAATGAAAGCTGGATTCAGCAGAGACGCACAAGGGATATCAATGCTGTTAAATGGACCTTGGTTGAAAGCATACCAGAAAAATGACTAGTCATTTTTTATGAGGCAATGAAAATATCTAATTCTTACACATTGTTTAATCTCTTATACATCATTTGTGGGATCATAAAATGGTTACAACTACTCCGGAAGGGAGTTTGGCATTTCCTCAAAAAGTAGAACATAGAAATCCCATATGATCTATCTATTCCACTGCTTGGGATATACCAAGAAAATGAGAACTGAGGCTCAAAGAGAGATTTGTACACCAATGTTCATAGCAGTGTTATTCACAATCACAAGTACATGGTTAACAGCCCAGATGTCCAACCACTATGCAATGGATTGAGACATGGTACATTCACACAATGGAATACCGTGCAGCACGCAGAAAGCAATGATTTTGTAAATTACTAATTTGGGAGGGACTAGAGAGCATAACGCTAAGTGAACTCAGTCTCATAAAGACAATTACTGTATAGGACCATTACCGTAGAATGAGCATGAGGATCCAAGGCAGGGAGGGGGAGCAGAGAGGTGAAGACTGACAGAGGAGTGGGGGCTTAATCAGAGGGTCGCACAATTTGATGGGTATAAGGAGGGGTGGGTAAAGGAAAGGGAAAAGATACTGTGTGAAAAACAATGTATACGAACCTTGTAAGTAAAACAGTGTAAATTTTTTTTTAAAAATTATAAATGATATTTCCAGGAAGTGACACACACAAAAATATCTAATCCTGTTAGTTGGCATTGGATCAATTCACTCATGATAAACTTACGTGAAATAGAACAAGGTGATATTCTGTACTGTGCTATCTTCACTATGTTAAGCATGAGACCATGGTTAAAACCATACCAATCTATCTCACGGAGCATTTCCCTTGTTTGTTGACTGTCTTGTTTACCAAACATGTCTTTCTCTAGCATTTGCTATGTCCTGGTGATGTGTCCAAAATATCCTTACTGAGCACTATTGCCTCATTTCTCTTTTAACTGAAAAGTGTTTCCTATATGTATGTTATCCCTACCTGATCTCAGCAAAGATATGCACTAACACTGGTCTAGTAGGTAAATCTAAGTATGTGCAAGGCATTAGAATAATTTTGCATATATTCAATTCTCCTAACCACATGAGCATAGTCCCAGGACTTAGTCTTAGTCAGGGTCCTGGTGGTACAGATGTTAAAGAATGCAATTACTAATTCAGTGGTTGGCAGTTCAAACCTACCAGGTGCTCCAAGGTTGGCATCTGTAAAGATTTGGAAACCGTATGGGAGCAAATCTCCTATAGGATCGATCATTGAACCAGAATCAAAGCAATGGATTTTTAGTTTAGGACAGTGTTTTGCACTAAATTTAGGACCAATAATCCTCAAGCATTATACATAATACATGAAGCTAGGGAATCTTATTAGTAAAGATTATCTAAAGGACAAGAGAGACAAGTCCAGAGGTATACTTCACTTTTCCATTTTTCTCACATGCACACATAATAGTTCAGACTAAATGTTAACTTACCTTGCAATGTTTTCAGTAGCTCAGGGCCTAGAATCTGACCCACTGAAGTGCAAGGGTGTTCTCTGCACCAATGTAAAACCATCTTATTTTCGCCCTATCATTAGTGACCAACCCATCCACACAATGAACCCTCAAGTATTTTTGGCTGTTCTCAAGTTAGCTCCCACAAAAATTATGCAGTCTAGTCCAATGTCAGATACGATTCCTAGGCAAAATTTATTTGAAATAACCTGCATGAGCTTCTCCATTCCAAGGTCTACCCACCAATATGGCCGTTCCATCATGTACAGCTGGGGAGTGAAAAGGAGAGGGCGTGAGCTCAGTGCAGTTACTCTCTTGACTGGAACATGTGCTATCTCAGCCCTGAGTCCTTTTGCTCTTAGCAACCTGTTCAGATAGCAGTGGTGCTACCCAGGGAGCGATTTAGATGAGTGGCTATCTCCTGAGTTGACTCACATTTCAGTCACTGTGGTCAATATATGAATTATCACTGAGGGTGAAAGGTAGAAAACAGGCACAAAGTATTGAAGAAATATCCTCTTTTAAAGAAGATTTAAGGAATGACACATGAAATGCAGAATTTGTTAAAGTGCTCAACTATAACATAAAACAAATCAGGAAAGTACTATTAAGAAAGTAAATCACAATCAGAGACTCTGGAAAAATACAACAAAATAACATATAGAAAAAGACCTCTGTCCGTATCATTTCAGCAACGAGGGAGGCATATAGGTGCCATATTTTTCAAACTCTGAATCAAATGTATCTTTACATAGACTATGGTTCCTTTAATTCTTCTTAAAGGCTGAATGAAAAATTTAAATTATGTCTTTTCACTCTTACCAAGTTAGTCTGGTTTCCTGAATGGGATCCATTATGGGAAACTGATCAGTTTAAATATGACATGTAAATAAATCCCTTTCTTACAGTCATGAGAAAACACCTGGGGTGAGATATGTTTCCAAATTGCCAGGCTGAGGCCCACACCGAAGATCACACACAGAACCATAAAGTTATCTACCCTCTTGGTATGATTATAAGTTCCAGGACTGAAATGCCATGGCAGTGAGGATTAGTAACCATCCCTAGCAATGGCTCTTTCATCCTAGAAGACAGTGTGTGGCTTCAACAATCACTTATAAGTCCAGTGAGCAGTGGCCCAGCCCTGGCCCTTACAGAGGTCCCGGTGGCGAAGGAAACAGGCATGAACTCTGAATCGACGGCCACAGTGGGGACAAGCATGCAGGGCTCCTGCATGGGTCTTCATATGCTCTGTCAGATGATGCTTCAGCTTGAAGCGCTTGTTGCAGACACCACAGCCAAAAGGCCGAAGGCTGAAAGTCAGCATGATGTGCCGGTCACGCTTTGGCTTCACTGCAAACCGCTTCCCACACAAACAACCAAAGCGTTTTCCATCTGCAGGGGGTGCCTCTCCTAGTTTCACAGGACCATGCACAGCTTGTCCTGCTCCCCCAGGTCCTCCACCTCCTGACAGGATCTCATTTCCATGAAGATCCACTGGCTTCCAGGATGGGCCTCCTTCTCCAGCTGGTGTTCCTGCTCCTGAGGGTAGCAAGAACCTTAGCTCCCCATCCCTTTGAGCATCTCCACCAGGAAGCACTTTGGTCTCATCTTTTGTTCCTCCAGACTGACTTCCACCCCCTGACATTTCTTCCTTACGTTCAAAGGGTTCCTGCTTTATGTACAAGATTTTGAGAGGCAGTGCTGTAGGAGTGGTAAGAGGCTCCTGTGGAGCACGCTCACTCTCTGGAAGCTTGTAGGGAATAGCAGATTTTGCTGATGGGTGGTCTCCATGAGGGTGGGGAAAATCTTCTGACACACTCTGGGTGTGAGCAAGTATTTCTGACTCATGATCCTTTTTTTCTTCTTCCTCTACCTGAATCTGTAATACCTCTCCCAGGTCACTACCCTTCTCAACAGCAGGGCTCTCTGTAGGAGGTGATGGCTGCACCCGGGTCTGGAAGGTGGGAGAACGAATGCACCAGCCTCCTGGTGAAGAAGTAGTGGAAAGAAGTGTGTGGTAGGGGGGTGTTCCACGGGCTGAAATTCCACCACCTGCGGCTTCTAGTTCTTTAAGAATTTCTGAACACTGATCTACTACTTGCCACATCTGGAGGCCACTGGCCACAAGGAGGTGGGCAGGCAGCGCATCTAGTGGCAGGCTGAGGTGTCCTGAGTAAATGAGCTGGAGGAGCCCCTCGAAGGCATCAGCTTCAATGACACTGGGCAGGGTGAGACGAGGTGCATCCCCTAGAAGCAGCTTGTCATGAAAGTAGGGAGAAGCTGCAGCCAGCACTGCTTTGTGGGCCCTAAGTTCTCGACCTTGCACCAAGAGAGAGACATCACAAAACTTCCCCTCTAGCCTATGCCGATTCAGGACTTCCAGCAGTGAAGAACTATGCTGAGGAAACTCAATCTGGATTGTCCGAGAGGTTGAGTTGCAGACGGGGGAGGGAACCACAGGCGGCAAAGGCGTCGACGCATCCATGGCCTCCTAGAAAAGAATGAGATCCCAAAGGGTCAGGAAGTGGAGATGAAAGCTGAGGATACATTCCTCACCCCCACTCCCCGCAGAATGAAGGTTGTGGTGGAAAGAGACAGGAATCGGTCAAAGAAGCCCTACATAAGGAGAATCATCACTCCTCAAAATAACTTCAGTCAGTGAGGTTATCAGATTAGTCCCATGCACGCCCCCAACAAGACTCAAAAATACAAAGCCAACACCACTACAACAAAACACCAACCGCGGGTGTAACGTCCACCGCCTGTGGAATAAGCTGAGGAGGAAGTCACTCAACCACGAGAATCACGAGTCTGACTTCGCCAGCCCAGGACCGCTTCTGCCTAGCTTCCCTAGTTTCCTCTCACGGTGTCCTAGCGGCCAGCTCTGGGGAGGCCACGGTCACCAGGACACCGCAGAGCTCGGTCCAGCTGTCCTTCCCGCCAACACGCCCCCTCCGGCACCCACGCAAAGCAGCCCTCATACCACATCTGCAGTTACAACGCCGCCTAAGCCGGAAGTCACCCCTCCCAGCCGGACGCCGACGCCAAGTGCGACAGCCAAGCAGGGATTAGCCAATCGTCAGGCGGTAGTCTACAAGCCTTGTGTTGATTGGTTGCTCCAGTGAGGGGTGGATCTGGTAGGTAGCTACTAGTTCCAACCTCTAGTTGGATAGGTGCCTACTGATTGTGCTGACTTCCCTGCGTCTGCGGGAGGCTAAAGAGGAACTGACCTTAGAAGCATAGTTTGGAATGCTGCGTTCCTAATTTATCCATTACCTTTTCTCCTCCAATTAGCTCTGCCAGTTAAGTGTTGCCATCCTTGGTTTCCATGGGTGGGAAAGGAAGGCCATGGACAGGAGAACTGTTACGTGCCATCTAGTCAGTCACGACTCATGTTGTTAGTTGTTATGTGCGGTCGTCACGACTCATAGTGATCCTAAATACACATTAGCTCTGAACCCTAACCTGAGCCAAGCTCTATCCTGAGCCAATCTCACCATCTCTGACACATCTACCCTCACTACCCTAATTATTTTGTTAATCCATCTCATCCGGGATCTTTCACCTGCGCTGATCCATGCATAATATCCTTTTCCAAAGAAGGTGGCTCCTGGCTCCATGCCCAAAGTATGTGAGATGCAGTCTCGAAATCCTTGCCTTCAAGGTCCAGGACAGACTTATTTGTTCTCTTGGCAGTCCATGTTATGTTCAATATTATTCCCAGAACTGCAGCTCAAAGGCATCAATTCTGTCATTCTTGGTCATTGTCCAGCTCTCTGATGCATACCAAGTAATTGCAAAGACCATGGCCTGGATCAGGCGCACCTTAGTCTCTAGACTGACATCCTTGCTCTTCAGCACTCTAGAGTAGTCTCTGACAGCAGATGTCTCTAATGCAATTAATCGTTTGATTTCCTGAATGCAGTGCCAAGAGTGTTGATTGTGGGACCCAGCAAGTAGACATTGTTAACAATCGGAATCTCTTCTCCATCTATCACAATGCTGCTAATTGGCCTAGTGGCAAGAATCTTTGTGGTTTTTTTTTAAGTTGGGCTTCAATCTATCAATCTAAATTGCAAATTAGTCCTTGACCCTCTGCAGCTGAGGCTTCAGGTTCTCCTCAGTTTCAGCAAGTAAGGTTGTATCATCTGCACGACACAGGTTGTTGAGTCTTCCTCCTTATAAAGTCCAGCCTCCCAAATGATCTGTTCTGCAAAAAAGATCGAAAAGATATGGAGACAGGATGCACTCCTGATGCACTCCCTTTCTGATTTTGAACCATGCGGCATTTCCTTGCTTTATTCTGACAATTGCATCTTGGTTCAAGTATAGGTTTCACACAAGCACAATCAAATGTTCTGGGATCCCCATTCTTCTCAAGGTTAGCCACAATTTGTTGTGATCCACACAGCCAAATGTCTTTGCATAGTCAATGAAACACAAATAGACATTTTCTTGTGCTCTCTGCTTTTGGCCAAGATCCACCTGAGTTTGGCAATAATGTCCCTACTGCCTGACCTCTTCTAAACCCAGCTTCTATTTCTTCTGGTAGTTCTCTATCAATGTAATGTTCCAGTTGCTTTTGAATAGTCTTCAGCAGGGTTTTGCTTGTGTGTGATATTATTGGTATCGTTGCCTGCAAACGATGGGCCTGGAATTGGAAAACAGATTTTCTCCATTCCACACAAGACCATTTCCCACCAGCAATTCAACCAGCCAACTAACCTGATTCCTAAGTAACATAATTTTACCTGGGTGCAGTGGTGGTCAGTTCTCACATTCTATGCAACACTAGAGGTCTGGACGCCTAGTGATTAAGAAGCTGCACTGCCACTCCAAAGGCACATGCTTTGGATCCACCAGGTGCTCTGTGGGAGAAAGATGGACAACTTTCTCCTGATCTATTTACTGTCACTGAAAGCACGCAGTAGACTTGGATTTCCCAGCTAATGCATCTAGTGGAGCCAACACTGTCAATGGAAACTTGACTGTTGCTTTAATGTTGCCCGAATTTCAGAAGAGTCCAAACCTAGATGGACCAGGAGGAAAGGATGGCTTGGTGATCAAATAAAAAGCAGTCAGCCAACAAAAACCCTATAGATAGCCCAAATGTCCAACATAATGCTTATCTTGGGATGGTGCAGGACCACGTAGTTTTGTTCTGTTGTGCATTAGGCTGCCGTGAGTTCAAGGCTGAGTTGAAAAGCAATTTTGTTGTTGTTGTTACCAGACAGACAGATGTAGCTATATATACTTGGAATCTTTTATCAGATAAGGCCAATTCCCTTCCCTTTCCCATCTTTGTTACTTCAAGTGAAGTACAACAGTTGTGAAAAGGGGACAGCTACATTGAGGAGGTTTTAGCCCATGCAAAACCCCTACTTTCAGTAATAGTGTGAAACTGATGTTCTCACTAGATGGGAGTCATTCTATGCGGATTTTGGACTCAGGGTAATATATTCACTTCCCCTAGGCTGTTAGCCTCTCAAGAAACAGACACTATTACTCTGCTGGTCCACCTTGAGGTCCTAATCTAGGAGAGCCAGCACAGTGATAAAAGAACAATCTCTGTTTATTAAACATTTTTCTGTTTCACCACACACTCCAGAAAAAAAGGAAATGGGGCTGGGAGTGGAGAAAAGGGGACAGTGGGCAGGGGGTATAGAGAGGGCTGGGTGTCATGGGGAGTGGGAGAACGAGAAAACAAAATAAAACTGGTAGGAAGAACATCCCCTACCCTTAGGATGGTGAGTGGGGAGGGACTCATGGAGGGGGGGCCAGGAAGCTCTGTACAGAGGGATTGCCCCCAGCCCACACACACACACCCCGGATATGTACAGTACAAACCCCAGATAATTACAACAGCCAAAGAGGAGAGGAGGAAGGAGGGTCTAAGGGTAGGGCTTGAGGTGGGAAAGCAGAGAAAAGGGCACAGGGATAAAATTTCACATATTTACAACTTTTATATAAGTATAAATTTGGCCCCGGCTGGGTGTATGTGTGTAGGGGATGGGACTGAAGGGAAAGTGTCCATACAAAATAAAGGATGGAGTCTGGGAAGTCTCAATACCAAACGCAAGAAAGGATGAGGCAAGGCTAGGTAGGGGACAGCAGTCAGGGAAGAGAGGTTGCCTTAGGAGGGGCTTCTCCCCTCTCAAAGGCCTACCCACCCTAAACCCCATCCATCCTACCTCCCCTATCCCGCCAGAGAGCTATATACAGAGAAACACCGAAAAATTGTTGAGCTGGCGGGAGGGAGAGAGGAGGAAAGAGGTTTGGGATGGGGGGGAGGATGAGAGGGAAGCCCAGCCCTGTCCTACCTCCCCCGGGGACAGAGTCATGGAAGGGGCCCCCCCAAACACCCCTCCTCCAACACAGGTCCCCCCACCCTGGGGGAGAGAGACATGGCTTTTCCTAGAATAAGTTCCCCCCTCCCCCTGGGAGTAGAGACCAAGAAGAGAGTGGGCAGGGGCAGGGAAACTGTCTATGAGGGTATGGCAGATAAACAAGTCTGTCCAACCCCACATACACACCCTCCTAAACCCCATCCCCTCACTCTAACCTCAATTCCACCCCACCCAACACACTGGGGGAGGGGGGGGCATAAGCCCCCTCACCCCGCTCTGGGACCAGCCAAGAGCAGATCAGGTGTAGGAAGAAAGGAGACAACTCCCATTCTCCCCTTGCCGCCCCCTCCCTGCCCCGGTGGCCCCCTCCACCCCATCTGGGTTCTGGGTGGGAAGGGAGAAAATTTAAGAGTTGGTGGGAGGAGAAGGAGTTTGTGCGTGCTGAGCCCCCCCAGACGCTCCTGAGAAATCAATGGGTAATGGGGCCCCCTCATCCGGGGTCCCCTCCCCATAACAAGGGGGGCAGGGGAGGCCAAAACGGGGCAGTGGAGGGGAGTTAAGATTGTCAGCTCTGGTTACTGCTAAAAAATCACCCTGAAGTTGAAAGTTTGGAGGTGCCACACCCCCAGAGTGGGGGCGAGGTCTGTCCCCCAGTGCTCAGGGGAACAATGAGGCAGAGGATGGGGATAGCACCCCAGAGTGAAGGGGTCTGTGTGGGAAGGTGGTGTCCTGGGGCAAGAGTCCCTGGGGGGGTCAGAGAGAGGGCAGCACCCCAACAGGTAGGAAAAGGGGGAAGCTGAGGGTTCCGACTTTCCTTCCTGGTTATGGTGCAAGTGGGAAAAGGGGATTGTGCCCCCAAGGAGGCATCCAGGGAGGCACTCCTGCTGTCCCTCGGCGACATCCAGTCCTGGTGGTCAGTGCTGTTCCGGGGTGGAGTGCGTGGAAGAGGAGGAGGATGGAGTCAGTGATGCTGAATGGGCTAGTGGTCTGCGGTGTTTCGGAACTCGCCGTTCTCGGTGATCTGTAGCCGGGGTGGAGGGGGCGGGGCTGGGGGGGCCAGGCCGTTCCAAGGCGGGGCCAGCGTCACACGCGGGTTTGTTGGACCCAAGGGGGGAAGCTGCCTCTCCTGTAAGACACC